CAAACCGGAAGTGGAGGAAAAACTTTACTTGTACGTATCAGTTTCAAACCACGCGGTTAGTGGAGTCTTGGTTCGGGAAGACCGTGGGGAGCAGAAACCAATTTACTACGTGAGCAAGTCAATGACGGATCCGGAATCCAGATACACAATGATGGAAAAACTTGCACTCGCGGTGGTAACTTCGGCTCGGAAGCTGCGTCCATATTTTCAATCCCATCCGGTTGAAGTATTAACTAACCAACCGCTCCGAACAATACTTCATAGTCCAAGTCAGTCCGGACGTTTGGCGAAATGGGCGGTGGAATTAAGCGAGTACGACATAGAGTTCAAAAGCCGGATCAGCATGAAGGCTCAGGTTCTAGCAGATTTCCTGACCGAACTACCAATACCTGGAACGATAGAGCAACCGGAGAACCAAACTTGGAAATTACACGTAGACGGGTCTTCAACAAAACAAGGATCCGGAGTGGGAATCAAGTTGGAATCTCCAACGTCAGAAATTCTAGAACAATCGTTCCGATTGTTATTCAATGCCTCCAACAATGAGGCGGAATACGAAGCCCTTATTGCCGGACTTCGACTAGCACAAGGAGTTGGAGCTAAGGAAATACTGGCTTATTGCGATTCGCAATTAGTAGTTAACCAATTTAATGGAGACTATGAAGCGAAAGATTCAAGAATGGAAGCGTACCTTGAAGTGGTAAAGGATTTATCTAGGAATTTCTCGAAATTCGAATTAATCCGCATACCTCGGGGAGAGAATACAACTGCAGACGCACTTGCCGCATTGGCGTCAACATCAGATCCTGAGTTAAAGAGAGTTATTCCAGTAGAATGCATCTCGGAGCGAAGCATTCAGGACAGCAAGGAAACCCTCGTCGTCACAAGGTCTCAAGCAGCGGCACGTGACCGTGGCGAACCAGAGATCGAACCGCCACCCAGCAAACGCAGAAAATCAAAGGGATCAAATACATCTAACAAGGAACCCGTTGTCTTAGCTGAAGAAGTGATTCCAGAAACGATGTTAGAAACCGAGCCATTAATCGAAGAGAATATTCTTGAACCAAACGAACATCCCGAACCAGAGCCACGGATATTTCACAAAGTTGACCAAATTCCGGCTAAAGACTGGGGGGCTGACTGGAGGGAGCCAATAAAGCACTACATCATGACAGGTGAGCTCCCAAAGAATAAATGGCAGGCCAGGAAAATGAAAGTCGTTAGCGCGAAATTTTGTCTGTCAAAGGATGCGTTGTATAGACGAGGTGTCAGTGACCCTTACCTATTATGCATTTTTGGGCCCGAAGTCGAAATCGTCATGAGCGAGGTGCACGAAGGATTGTGTGGGAGTCATTCATCAGGAAGAGCTATGGCTTTTAAAGTTAAAAGAATGGGGTATTTTTGGCCCACTATGATCACAGATTGTGTTAAGTTCGCCCAAAGATGCAAGCGCTGCCAACTCCATGCACCATTGATCCATCAACCGTCGGAATTATTCTCCTCCATTTCTGCCCCATATCCGTTTATGAGGTGGTCAATGGACATCATTGGGCCATTGCACAAATCAACTCGAGGTGTACAGTACCTTTTAGTCCTTACGGACTACTTTTCAAAATGGATTGAAGCTGAGGCGTATGTCGGTATCAAGGATTCGGCGGTGAAGACCTTTATTTGGAAAAACATTATATGTCGACATGGAGTTCCATACGAAATAGTCACTGATAATGGGCCACAATTCATTTCACACGAGTTTGATGCCTTTTGTGCGGACTGGGGAATCAAAGTTAGTTATTCTACTCCACGATATCCGCAAGGAAACGGACAAGCTGAAGCCGCGAACAAGACAATATTAAGCAATCTCAAGAAACGCTTAAGTCATCTAAAGGGAGGATGGTATGAAGAACTCCAACCCGTCCTGTGGGCCTATCGTACAACCCCTAGGCGACCTACAGGAGAAACTCCATTCTCTTTGGTTTATGGCATGGAGGCGGTAGTACCAGCTGAACTCAATGTGCCCGGACTTCGTCGAACAGAAGCACCGTTAAATGAGGAAGAAAATTCAGCAATGCTTAATGATTCACTAGATACCATAAATGAAAGGCGTGATCAAGCTCTAATTCGGATCCAGAATTACCAACAGGCAGCAGCCCGGTATTACAATTCTAAGGTTAAAAGTAGGCCGTTCTTCGTGGGAGATTATGTATTAAGGCGCGTCTTTGACAATAGAAAAGAAGAAGGTGCCGGTAAACTCGGTATTAATTGGGAAGGACCTTACATTATTACCGAAGTGGTTCGGAACGGTGTTTATAGGTTGAAAGACTTAGAAGACAATCCAGTCAAGCGACCTTGGAATGTGATCAACCTAAAGAAATTTTATGTTTAAAGCTACATGCATTGTTTATGTACATGAACTACGGTGTGGCTTGATCCCGAGATGGGTACGTAGGCAGCTCGAAAACGAGTTCAGCTATTAATAAAAATTTGTTTTATTTCTTTATTAAAGGAGGAAGGTTCGGCTAAGCGAACATATAAGGAATTGGAAATAAAGCATTATTTAGAAGACGGAATATCCCTCATCGTACACTTCGGACTATGGAAATCTTGTTGACGAGCAGAACACTTCAACTCCTTGACCAGCAAGATCGAGGATTGGCATCATGCAGTCCGGAATTCGAGCAAAGTCTGAAATTCCAAGTTCAATCCACTCTCCGGGGTGAGATTCAAGGATGTGAAGATCTCTTGACACCGTAGTAAGCCTGCGTTGCATCCGGTTAATCCTCTTCCGAAGTCTCCTCTTTTCCGACATAAGCTTCCGGTGTTGAAGCTCGAGTGCCTCTATGAACGCCGTCGCTGTTCCTTGGTCCCTGATTGGGAGATCCCTGATCAAAGCACATGGGGCTCGGATCTGAGATCTCAAGATGCCGCGAAGTGGAGGAGGCCGCCTGTTTGGCTCATTTGGAACATCTTCGCTCATCATTCCGATTCTGGAGAAGTCAGGCATAGATTCTGAACAGCGAAGATTGAACTCCATACCTACTAAAATGAAAAGAATGGTGAGGAGTAAAGGGAAATTGAGACTACAATTTATAGGAACCCCATATCCTTAGCAAGCTGCGGATTCTATCCAAAGAATGGAGTGATTCGCGGAGAGATTTATGCCTTCGAACAGATCCTGCATTAAAAGGCGCATCTCCGAGAATATTTGAAAAGAAAGGAAAGTTGCAAATATTTCCATAAAATAAAAAGGGGCCGAAGCCCATTACGAGTTTAAAATAAGTGAAGAAGTTAAAGAACATTTATGGGAGAGGCTCAGGAACAGGCTCCTTCATCGCCGGTTTAGTCTTCGAAGTGGACGCCTTGTTCTTGACATCCACTTCGGAACGATCCCGAACGCGTTTCCGACAGTTGCTGGCCTCCTCCTCCAAATCGTCTTCCTCTTCACTGTCAGATGGAACGGCGCAGACAGGGGCGTTCACGGGACCCGGAACTCCTTTGGCGCGAAGATACATCCGAAGCATCTTCGGGATCTTAGCAACAGAATCGAAATTCCGCCATTCCCATTGGAAGGGATCACTTTCCAAGGCCCGTATCTTCCTCTCCACCCGAGCGATGCGAGCCTCGAGTGTTTGCCTTTTGAGGCCCAGCCGCTGCCTCTCTTCACATAAGCGACGGTGCTTGTCGGCCACCTAGCATAAAGATGAGTGAATAAGATGAAGCAAAAAGTTTTTGAGTCAAAAACTTTAAATATTTACCTTGTCGATAAAGTCGCAAGCCTCTTTCTTCTCCTTTGAAGGGAAGTGAAAGACGGCGTGAGGAAAGAGAACGCCGGCCGGTTCAAATCCGTCGCCGGACAAGAAAAGTGGGCTGCCGGGGTCGATGGGGGCTACTCCTTCGTTTTCCATTCTCAAAATATTTCTCAAGTAAGATTCTAAAATCGTGTGTAAATAAAGCTTAGAAGTAGGTAAGCCTTTATTTATAATGATTTAGGGTTTGTCTTGGAACCATAAACCCAATAATGGTAGTGTGTCCGAATGGTTTAAACCATTTTTGGAAATCGAGAAAAGGCAGTTATTGCATTAAAGACGAGCCGTTTTCTTTACTTATAAGAAGGGAAAGCGCAACCGTCGCATTAACTACAAAAGTTTCTAAGAGCATGATTATAGGTAGGCTCTTAGAAATACCTCTTAGCAATATTTAAGTAATTTATTTGTAAAAGTGATTGTTAAGAGATAGTATTTTTGAGTTAAGATTTTTGTCTGATTAATGGTAGGCTCTTAACATGTGGTTCTTAAATATTAAATTTTTGAAAATTATTTTAGTGTAAATGTATGGAATTGGTTTATGAAAAAAGTTTTAAGTGTATGAAATTTGTGTTTAAGTTAAAGAGATATGAATAACACACACCATGATGATCCAAACTCAGTCAAAAGACATAGCACCATGAAGCGCAGTTAAAAATGGAGAAAACCGAAAAGAGGATGACTTTGTAATTATGATGTCTCACACCATGAAGGTAATCAAGTCTCCGGTCTCGGATGGATTATACGCAATTCTCATGGAGTTTTTCAGGATTGTGGGATGGGTCAATTCCAAGGGAGGATGACAACAGAAGAAGCGAAGTACACGGCTTTAATATGGGCAATGCAAGCAGCTTGGGCACTAGGATACCGAGCGGTCGAGTTCGAAGGAGATAATCAAAATGTAATCCGAATAATCAATGGCTCTGCTTTGAACCCACGGCTCAATCACTTCTTAAACACGATATGGGGATGGAGAGATAAGTTTCCGGATGCAAAGTTTCTATTCACGCATCGTCAACAAAATCAGTGTGCGGATTTACTAGCAAAGACCATTAGAACTTCTCCAAACCAATGGTGTATGTACCATCATGTCCAATGTTTCTTAATACCGTTGTAAACAATGATCTTTGATAAGTTTTAATAAAAAGCCATTAGAAGGAAAAAAAAAAAAAAAAAAAAGTTAAAGAGATATGAATATAATTTTAGTTAAAACTCATAAACCATAAAAAATTTATTCATCTCTTTGTCTTCAGTTTACATATCAAAGACAAATGTCCTCCATCTTTTAAATCAAATCTATATTATCTCTGTTACATCAACACAAAGACTCAAAATTGCATTTTGTTTACTCGAAGAACAAGCACTTTTACTAATGTTTGTCAAGTTTCAAAACGTTGTCACCGCAGAGCCGGCCAAGATCTTCTTGTGTGAGCAGACTCCCCATGCTTCACCTATTCTTGTTTTCATTCTTTCAACTGCACACATGAAACTCAAACCTGATCAAGATTTTAAAACATTGGACCAGTCAAATACCCAATTGACAAAATCTGAATTGCTTTCCCACTCCAGATTTAGTAAAATTATCTATACAAAACTTCCATTGGTTGATTTGCATATCAGATACTAGACAAGGAAAACTTACCCGTGAGCATGCTCGACATCAATAATAAAACAAAAATGCAGAGAAATCAAGTAGTGCCATGTCAAAAAGAACATTAGATTTTGTTAAAATGTATTGTAGTGAATCACACCCCATGAGAAGGAAACATATGAGCGATCATAAACAATCTATAATAAACCATAATTCGATTCATCTCCACTAGTCTAAACTTGCTCCTCCTCCATCTTCCTCATGAAACCAAGCTTTTGAAACCGATGGTGGAAGTCAATTTTGATAATCAACACCGCTAATCTAACTAGTAATTTAGGCATTCTATTATAATTAGTGAATTCTACTTTTCTTTTTCCCAAAGACTCATCTTTACCTTTTGATCAAATTCAAAACCTCAAAGTAAAACACATAAATTTTGATCAAATTCAAGAGGAAAATACCAAATCCTTAACAGTTTCAACACAAATCCCCAATTCCATGAAACCTACTTTCTAAAAACTCTAATCACATCAATTCATACAATCAGAGATAGATTCATACCATGACAAACCGAGTTGGTGAAACATTACCTCCGATTTGCAAATCGAAACTCGGAGATCTTGTAAAAATAGTCTCCGATTTCGAAACCCCACATCGCCGATTAGGTTAACCGAAAACGCCGTGAACGACAAACGTCGGTGGAGATGATGAGATTACAGCGGAAGGACGGCCGGAGGAACATTGGAGAATCCTCAGATTGGTTTTGATTTCTCTGTTTTTGTCTGAAGAAATTGCGTAAGAGAGAGAGAGAGAAGAGAGAGAAGAAGAAACGAGATTTTTGTCTCTTAACTAAGGAACGTCTCTTAGTTATTTACATCATTTGGCATTTAATTTAATTCTTATATTACTTAAGATTTGGCTAAGATTTGGCTAAGAGACTTACAATAATCATGCTCTAAGGCCCAAGCCCAACAAGTTTATCGAGTTGACTAAACCCGAAGTGGGGAACTCGCTTTAAGCCGAGCTCAGTTCTCGCATTTTAAAGAGAAAGGTCTGATCAGCCTAAAAATCTCAAAAGCATAACCACAAGGCCACAAAAGGTTAAAAAGCGGACTTTGCAAACCCGCATATAATTTTAACCAAATCCCCTTGGGTCGCAACCTAGAAAGGTTTAAAAACCTCTTCAGGCAAATATCTTGTTCAAAAGAAAATAAAGCCTCCTTAGGCAAAAATAAGTTCGAAATTAAGTCTTAAAAATTAAAGGGACAATCCCCAATTTAAAGTGGACACAGCCACTACGGAGCAGCAGCCACCTCGGAATCCGGCTCAACAGTCGAAGCTTCATTCGCCTCCTTGGCAGCTGCTTGGTCAGATGAAATTCTTGATCCGCTCTCCACGGTACAACCAACCTCCGGAGTGACCTCCGGTACCATAGGAACTACGGGCGGGACAACGTCTTCCGTCTCACTTGAGCCTAGGAATAATAATTCCAATCAATCAAAGGTACAAGGTAAGAAAAGGTAATAAATATCAGGAGCCAAGCATTACCTGCCCAGTCTAGACCTGATTCACTTATAGGAGGCGATTCAGTGAAGAATTCCTCGAAGTCCTGAGGGTTGAAGGTCGAAGTAGGAAGAGCTGCCAAGCGACTCCGCTTTTCAGAAAGATTAGCCGACAGTTCGGTTCTCTCTTGCTCCTCGGAGAAATCTGTATCATGGATTTGATCCAGCAGGATCAGGTTGCTCTCGTGCTCCTTGATGTCCGATTCCAAATCAGACCTAGCCTTCTCAGTCTGCATGAATCGGATGGCCCCTTGGATCAACTCCATCCTGCGTCCCTTAACCTCTTTTCTGGCTTTTGATGCCGACCTCGCCAACTCGGAGTCACGCAATTTGGCAATCGCCTTGTACTTTGCGTTAAGCTCGATGAGTTGGTTGTTCAGGGAATCAGCGTTTGATTCGGACTCTTGAAGCCTACCCTGAACACCAGAAAACTCTTCCTGGAGCTTGAAGTTCTGGTCGTACTGACCCTGTAGCTCCCCCTTTATCTGCGCAAGCTCTGATGTTAAACTGTCGACCTTGTCCTCCAGATCGTGCTTGGAGCCGACAGAAGAGCTGAGTTCAGCCTCAAGGGCAGAGAGTTTCTTTTTCCACATGTCAATCTCCTTCTCCCGTCCAATGACCAACCCTTCGTAATGTTCGATCATGTCGTTAAATTCGCTATGAGCCTGGCATTATTCATGAACCCGGGATGGCGAGTTAGTTCGCGGAATGGCAATGCAATAAAAAAAAAAACGGAACTAACCCGAGATGAGTGATGCGCGTGAAGCAAATAGCGTTCACGAATCGCAGGGCGCCATTTGTCGAAGTCTGGCAGGATCGAACCCGATCGGGTCTTGAAGCATCGGAAGACGCTGCCCTCTTTCTCCATAGCTGCGAAGAAGGAAGAGTTGTAAAAATTGGAATTTTAATAAAGACAAAAAGTTTAAGTATGTGTAAATCACCAAACCTGAAAGCGATTTGACTTGAGGGACAAGAACAGGCTTCAGCCTCGAGGGAGCATCTCGAGATTCAGAATCTCCACTTTTAGGGGATGCACTTCGAGCAGTCTTTTCACTGACGGGCTGGGAAGAAGAAGACATGTCAACAGGTCGGGGAGGACCCATTGGTTCAGCAGAAGGGGATGATCGAGGTGAACGGTCAGTCCGGGCCCTTGATTTCTCCCTTCGCGGAGACGAGTCATCACGGGACGACTTGTCCCTCTTCTTACGAACCAAATTCTTAAGAGGTTCGTTGCTGAAATCGTCTCGGGGAGGACGAGGAGAATCACGACGCGGAGACCGCTCTCTCTGAGGAGAACGCTCGTCGCGGCGTTCGCGGCGAGGTGTTAACCTATAAGCAGCAACGGATCTGGCTCCCTCGGAGCTGTTGTCATCAACCAGCAGGGTCCTGCTGTAATCTTTTTTGTCGATGGCGGTCGCAAGGAACGCCTTGTTTTCATCACAAGCCTCTGCTATCGGTTTGGAGAGCTTCTTACGCTGGGCAGCGAGGGCCCGAGCTGACATTCCCTGAGTTGAGGGAGGAGGCGGAAGACGATGAAGTAGATTGGGAGGACTCATCCTGAGTTTCCGGTTGGCCTCGACAAATCGGTCGAGGGTAAAAGAATTCCAAAGGGTTTCCCCTTCAAGGATTGTTTTGAAGAACTTGACAAATTCTTCAGTCGGGAGAGTTGAAGCGATGAAAGCTGCGAAATGAAACAACGAATTCGGTCAGTAAAAAATAATAATAAACAATAAAGGAATATACGACCTAGTCTCTACCAGGTTTCGCAGACCACTTCGATGGGAGTACATCGGAAAGATTCCCAATCGAAGCAGGAGTTTTCTTAATCAGAAACCAAGGATGGTGCCAGTTCTCATCCTTGTTCGGGAGGTGCGAGATGACGTTTCTATTGGCATTTGGATACGCCGAGAAGTACCCAGTTTTCTTTGATGAACTCCTTACGCTTAGGAGTTCATTCAGCTCGGGGACTCCAATGACGTAGCCAGCCTCCGCCGCAACGGTTATAATCCCGAGGATGGTTCGGAGGAGATTGGGGGTTAATTGAGGTAAAGCGATCTCAAGAGCCGCCAAGAATCGAACTAGGGCTTCGGGAAGGGGGAAGGTCAATCCGCAGCCCTTGAAGTAAATTTCGTAAACACAAAAGTAGCCGGCACGGTGGTTCTCAGGAGATTCCGTAGGGTCGGCTATTTGCGCCTCCGCTATAATTTCAGGAGGAATTTGACAAAGCCCCTTCAATCGCTCAAGGGATTGAAGAGTACAGGTGGATTTGTAATGAGGACCGGCGATGTCGTTAGGACGAGTGCATTCGTCATTACTAGAACGCCTCTCGTCGTAAGACGGAGATTCAGGTCTTTCAGAATCAGAAGTCATCGAATAAAAATGAAAAATTCAAGATCCGGCGAAGAGAGGTTTTTTGTGAAGAAGAGAAGAGAGAGTTTTTGATTAAAGTACAAAAGTAAAAGAAGAGAGTAATGGTGAAAAGAAGTTACCTCAAGCTAATGATGAAACCGCCTCGGAAGTCGTGTGGGAAGTGGGAAGGTTTTTCCCGTTTTAATAGTAATTAATCAATATACCGTCATAATGATGACAGATGTCACTCGGTTAAAAATGGCTAGTGCCGAAATTAAAGGAGTGATGAGATTTTCGGCGGGAAATCAGAAAGATTCTCGAGCGCAATCTTTGGCAACTTGAGCATTTAAAGTCCTCCGAATTGGAATAGCACTTCGAAGAACTTGGGGGGCTAATTGTTGGTGTCGGATCCCGCACCAGAAGTACGAGACCAACCAAAGATTGCCACGTAATCAAGATAATGGCCCATAAAGGATGAAGCCCATTGGACCCGTGAGCCAAAGGGACGGTCGAAGTGGTTGTCACCATTTCGAGAATCCGAAGTGACTGCACTGTGACACGAGTTCGGTGTAGAAGACACGGGAAAGTCGGTTCAAGGACACTTGGGCCAAAAGAGGCGAGGCCCATAAAGATCAGAGTCAACTCAAATTCAAACGTTGAGCATTAAAGTCGAAGAATCAAAACGGACACATTTAAGAAGGAATAATTGTACTTAATTTCTCATTTTAATGTCGTTTATCTATGTATAAATATAGAGGCCAATGGCCATGTAAAGGGGGGCTTCCTCTCAAAAAAGAAATACAATAGCAATTCTCGTAGCAATTTATAAGTTTTTACATATTCATTTTTTGTCCCTCAAGAATAATCTTTCCTACTTAATAAAATACTTGAGTGTGTGAATCCGATATCCACATTTTGGCGCCGTCTGTGGGGATCGAAGGTTCTTGAGTGGTCAGATTTTTTCTTTTTCACACTTCCGAGATAAGCAACAATGTCCGGAGGAGACGCCGCTAAGACATCATTGGCCGAAACCCTCAAAGCTATGCAGCAAACCATGTCGGACATATCACAAAAGTTCTCGGATGTGGAAAAGGCCGTCGATACGTTGCAAACATCCCAGGTATCTCTTAGTCAAAACGTCAATACTATACAAACTCGTGTTCGTTCTTTAAGTGCAGGAAACCCGATGGGAATCCGAAGAGAGATATTCAACTCGCCAAGTTCCGCTGCATGAAATGAAACCAGCGGACAAACAACCCCCGGTGCTACTAATAATGTAGCTCAGACGTTGGAGGAAGAGACGCAGCTCGGGGATGAAGAACAACTTGCAGCTCAGTACGAGCAGGAGAACCTCGACCAGTTCGAGACCATGAGGAAGGTTAGCCAGGAATTAAAAGAAATGAAATCAAAATTTCATCAAGCTACAAGTTCAGAGCCAGACATCAATCGAGTCATTGAAGAGGCTAGGCGAACACCTTTCATCTCGGGAATAGCAAGTTTGAGGATCAAAGATTCCCGAAAACTCAAGTTGGACCCTTACAGCGGATTGGAGGATCCAAAAAACTATCTCGCAGCTTTTCTGATCGCTGCAGGAAGAGTCGAGTTGGATGAAGCTGATGAGGACGCAGGCTACTGCAAGCTTTTTTTCGGAGAATCTATGTGGCCAAGCTCTAATGTGGTTCACCCAATTAGAGCCGGGTTCGATCAGTAATTTCGACGAACTATCAGCCGTATAATTTATTTCATCATTATAAGAATAGCACAATTAGAAAGACTAACGAGGCATTCCGGGCCGACTGCCTTTGAGAGCCTTTCCCCTGGTTCCAATCTTAAATCTCAACATGAGAGACCCAAAATCCATCAAAAACCAAAATACAAGAGGTTTTGAGGGTAGCTTTTTTTTTTTTGTTTTTTAAATGATATCTCTTCCTTTAATTTGATGCTTTAAATTTAATTTTATTGGTTTCTAATCCTTTTTCCTTCACTAATATTTTCGCTTAATCGAATTATGCTTAGTAGCTCTTACCACCATTTATTCTAGAGTGAACCTAATTGACATCAAATTCATGTGTGAGATCATATAACTCTTTGTGGTTTCTTATGCCTTTTTGTATTTATATCTTATAGTTTTTTTTTTTATATGTTTCAATTTGTTCAAGTTTTTATGAGATCATTACATTTGGTAGTTTCTTATGTTTTTGTATTTGTCTTTTCATGGAATTTCTTATGTTCAATTTGTCTCAAATTTGATTTTGAACCTTCATGTGAGGTCATTATATTTTTCTGGTTATCTATAGTTTTTATTTGTTATGTATTTCATGAAAAAATAGAAGTCATCATCCTTATAAGGTAAATTACTTACGATTAAATTTTCTTATGAAATCAATTTGTATATCCTATACATCACTTTTAATATAATTGATGGTGTTATTTTTTTCTTTTGTTTTTTTATGTCATTTTCTAAGTATATTTCAATCCATAATGTCATATTTTATTACGTTTATAATGGTAAGATTTGCTGTGTAATATATATATATATATATGTTTTGTGTATGCAGACTATATTGTTGAAAATATTTCTATATGATGATGAATTTTGTTTAGCTAACAATTCTAAATAGGTGACAATTTTTCAAAATCACTAAATACAATTTCAAATCTCATATAAAAAATATTTTCGAAAGATATTCTACACATATACAAAATGCTCTTTTGTTTTGCCAACGTGAGCCATTTTTGTTTTCTTCCGTTAAAATAAATTATCATGAAAAATTAATTTTCTGATTAAGCGGTATATATTCAAAATATAAATTTAACAATCTTCAACTTAGCAATTTTCAATAATTACTCTCACATCTTATATATATTTTCCATTTTACTATCATTTATAAAATTGAGAATTAACATATATAAGATGTTCTAATATTTGTTTTAAGTGATATGTGCCATATTTTTCTTATTTTGTTTCTATTTTCACTTTCAAATAAATATTGAGCATCCTTACAGCCTATTATTAATAAATGATTTCTTATTAATCGAGCATTAATTGTATAAATGACCTCATAATGATGTTTAAGTTGCCTACATTTTAAATAACTATTTCGACATTTTATATATTTTAAAATTTTATATACCTAAATTTTCATTATTTTAAAGTAAACATGTAACATAAGGGATAAAGACAATATTGAATAAGCTCTTACAGATTCAATTTTAAAACACTTATGAATACTACCGTTTATAATTATGACTACGCATGCTTATAATTTTCTTTCTAATTTAAAAGACTAATAGCTATGTGAACTAACTATTACATGAATTATTAATAAATCAAATTATCAAAATGGATGCAAGAGATATAAATGATAATTTAACGTAACATCCATGTATTGTAATGATACTACTTGACAATTTTTCGTAAAATATCGATTAAATATTTTTCATAATATCTTAAATCATTATGTTTCTATTAAAATTTACCACTAATGTATTGTCTTTACATTTTCTTAGCTTTATATAATCCAACATTATTTTGTAGTACTTTAATTCAAAATTTTGTTACCCTCTATAGATACACATAAGTTACAAAAAATTTCACTACATTATTTTACAATTTATTACAAATTTGGCAAAAATAATAATAAATTATTTGTTAAATTTATTTAGTTACTAGGATTTAAGAGTACTGTTTTGTTTTCTATAATTGTGGTATAAATTCTATTTGTGATGGTAATATTGTAATAATCAACAAGTATTTGACTTTTAAGATAACAAAATATTATCTCAACTCACTAATTTTTTCACTTCTTGTCCACCGTCTTTTTTTTTTTTACACAAAGCCCTCTCATTATTTTTCCAATCTCCCTCGAAAATGTTAATTCAAAAGTCTTTCAAATATATTGATGATGTTTTGTCAAATCATATGATTTATTTAAACATGTAAATTACAACTTTTTAAGTCATTGTAGAGAAGAAATAAATTGGAAGATTTGTTTACTAATACTTTTAATGAATAATTTGAAAGCTTTTTGTTAATATTTTCTTTATAATACAGGTTATAATAAGCTTTTAAGTTAAACTAATTTAGTTTTCTTACGGTAAAATATATTCAAACTATTCCCACGCATCGCGTGGGTCTTTTCTAGTAAAATGATATAATAGAGTTTTACTCACCAGACGAGCATTTCTCATCCCAGACAATTATCCGGTGGTCAAAAACAGAGGATCGCGATTGCTCGGGCTATTCTCAAGGATCCTAAAATTTTGTTGCTTGATGAAGCGACAAGCGCGTTGGATGCAGAGTCTGAGCGGGTGGTGCAAGATGCGCTTGATCGGGTGATGGTGAACCGAACCACGGTTGTGGTGGCTCACCGCCTCACTACGATTAAGGACGCGGATGTGATCGCGGTTGTGAAGAATGGTGTGATCGCAGAGAGTGGAAGACATGAGACGTTAATGGAGATTTCAGGTGGTACTTATGCATCACTTGTAGCTTTTCACATGAGTGCAAACTGAGACAAAATGTTGTCAATGAGAGCATAAGCTGGCAATGTTGGAGTACTCTCTGGATAAAGTTAATGTTTACCAGAACCGACTTGCTTTTACGTTGGTGTGGCTTCTGTTGCTTTTGGATCTTCTTACTATCATCTTCACCCAAACGATGCTACTCTCCTCTGGTTTTTATGTGTAGAAATTAATGATTAGTGTTGATTATTTTGGTTAAAATGTAGATTTACAATATTCTATTACTTAAATTTGTAATCATAGAGACTAAGATTCTAGTGCTTAATTATACTTTAAGTAAAATTATATTTGATAGCTTTGTCAATCAATTTTCTTTTAAAGAGATTTCCTGTCTTTTTTGGTCCTGTAAATCTTTGAAATAAAGAAATATATAGCAATTCATTTTTAAAAAGTTCAAAACGTACCAAAGCGGTTCATGTCGAGCCGGACCACTGTAGTCTCATTACATAGATTGATAAAAAGACTAGTAAAGAAAGAGTAATATGGAAAATTGGCCTAGGCCATGTAAATCGATACCAAGATTCCTGGAGAGGAAGAGGTTGTCAACATATGCGATCACTGATGCGGATGCAGAAACATAGCTTTGAATATGTATCTTGGCCGTTTCCTCTGAGAACGTGAGGAATTCGTTGATTCTCCGCGAATACCGAATTCTACGTCTTCTTATAATCGTTGAGATCTCTCGAGATCTACCGAAAACAAGGATTAGAGAATACTCTTCTCTGAAAAACTAAAAGCTCTTTAATTTTATTAATCAAATCAATTGTATACAACCCTAGGCCTAAAAGCCTTATTTATAATAAATCTAAAAAACTCTAGAATATTCATAAAACAATAAATAGAAATTATCTAAATAAAGAAATAGAGATATTAGGAAATAATAAAGATATTTGGAATTATCCTAATTCTACGCTGCATCAGGTCTCGCCGGCCAAGAAAAGATTCGTCCTCGTATCTTGTAACTGCGCTGCATCAGCTCTCGCCGGCCAAGAAAGATTCGACCTCGAATCTTCAGCAGGGTTTTCAGCATTGGAGATCTTCGCAGATCCATCTTTATCTTCATCTCTTGATTTTTCCCGATTTTTGCACGAACTGGATCAGACCCGAAAGTTGCACGAATCTGATTTGACCCAAAATTTGCACGAATCCGTTTTGACCCAAATTTGCACGGACCGGAATATGTACGAAACTTGCACAGATCTGATCTTTCATGTTTTCTGCAGGAAACCCGAATTTTGCACAGATCTGACTACGCCCGGATTTTGCACGAAGAGTATCTTGCCCGAATTCTGCACAGATTTTCTCGAACGCACCATCGCTGAACATAAAATCGACATGATCAATAAGTAAGACATCATCATCTTCATAGATATCGTAGATAGGATCACCGTAAATTTCTATGTAACCATCTTCAAACAAACTTTCTTCTGCAAAGGGATAAAAGTTACCACTCAACATGATCACCAGAATCGTTCTTCGATTGAGAAATCAAAGAGACAGAGCTCTGATACCAACTGAAGTAGCGGAAGCTTTAAGGATAGAACTAGAGATCCGTTGATTCCTCGGAATACCGGAAAACTAGGGTTTGAGAGTCCTCCTCTCAGGGCTTTCGCAAAAGCTCTTAGGGTTGTGAATACTCTTCACAGTTGTTTATCAAAACCTCTTTAAATCTTTCGATTAATCAATTCATCAATAACTTCATACAATAGGAGGCCTAAGAAGGCTATTTATAATAAAAGCATAAAACCCTAAAATCCATAGAATATTCTAGAATAATTATAATTAATAAATTAAAAGATAATAGAAATAGATATTTGAAATATTTCCAAATATCTCGCTGCATCAGGTCTCGCCGGCCAAGAAAAGATTCGTCCTAGAATCTTGTATCTGCGCTGCATCAGCTCCCGCCGGCCAAGAAAGATTCGTCCCCGAATCTTCAGTAGGGTTTTCAGCATAGGAGATCTTCGAATATCTGTCTTTATCTCCAACTTTTGATTCTGCCCGAAATTTGCACGAACCATATCTGAACCGAATTTTGCACGACTTGTATGTTGCACGAAATTCGCACGAATATCTTCTTGTACGAATTTTGCACAGGTCGGATATTGCACGAAATTTGCACAGATCGGACTTTCCATAACTTCTGCAAAAAACACGAATTTTGCACAAGTCGAAATTCGCCCAGATTTTGCACTGTTCTGATTTCGCCCATAATTTGCAGAAATCAGAATCTCAAAAGCATCTTCTAGAAAACCCAAATCGATATCTATAACATCTTCTTCATAGATATCATAGATGGGACCACCATAGATCTCTCTGTAGATCTCATGGTTTTCTTCTTCTTCAGAAAACAGACTTTCGCCTGTGATAGGGTAGACGTTTCCGGTCAACCGTTTAAGGATAAAACTAGAGATCCGTTGATTCCTCGGAATACCGGATAACTAGGGTTTCTCGGATCTGTTGATTCCTCAGAATACCAGAAACGAGAGAACGTGAGGAATTCGTTGATTCTCCGCGAATACAGAATCCTACGTCTTCTTATAATCGTTGAGATCTCTCGAGATCTACCGAAAACTAGGATTAGAGAATACTCTTCCTTGAAAAGCTAAAAGCTCTTTAATTTTATTAATCAAATCAATTATATACAACCCTAGGCCTAAAAGCCTTATTTATAATAAATCTAAAAAACTCTAGAATATTCATAAAACAATAAATAGAAATTATCTAAATAATTAAATAGAGATATTAGGAAATAATAAAGATATTTGGAATTATCCTAATTCTACGCTGCATCAGAAGAAGAGAGCCAAATCCTGTAGAAGCAGCTAGCTGAATAGCCCACCCATGGTGCGGACCAAACACCTGATTGTAAGCTTTATATGCTGCATCCTTTAGGGGGCTATCAGCTCTACAAATCATATTCAAACACATTTAAAATCTTTTGATATTGACCCAAAAAGAATAGTTACAACAAGTACTCAGCTAGCTAGCATGGAATTATTGCAACACATTTATATTGTGTTAATATATAGGAGCATAACCAAGTGATGGTAGTTCAATGGTTAGGGCTTATTCGTCTATAACAGTAATTGTTTTCCCCTGGATGCACATTCTTTTTTAGCACTACGGATCGACTAATCCCATAGGAGCACACCTGCATATCTTCTTAAACATCTAGAATAGTGAGAGGCGAGCCCAAGGCCATACTAGTGAGAGTGCATAAACCCCAAACAAGCCCAAAGTCCATAAGCATCATTTTAATTTTTAAGCGAATGCAAATTTACGCCTTAAGTCTTATGTTTATTAGGGATAACAATGTGGTCCTAACAGTATATAAGAGATATAGGCCATCCACTAATTGCTAATTGATTTTGAATTGGAAGCCCATATTCTAATAATGTTGTCTTCCTACCATCCGGCCACCATCCTGAGGTAGGAAAATATGTTCCTAACTGATAGGGCTCGAACCTAGGCCCCCAAGCACAAAGGAACCCCTAGACCACGAGCCTCTCAACACCAGTACAGAATTCACATGGTGAGTATAGATTTCAAAGATTAGTTTAGAATTTCAGTTACAAAAATGAAATATATAAAAACTTGGAATGACACATATGGAAGATGGCAAGGCTCGATTGAAGATGTCGCAAAACTCACAAATGAGAGTCTAGAGGAACACTTACTCAGTGGCTAATGTCTCTTCACATAGAACCCTTATCATTTCTAGACCACGCTTTACCCTCAAAAGGTTTCTTGTATGACTACCAACTTTCCTAACACGTTTTGCCTCAATATCTCTATCAACCATTGCCTCTAATGTCAATGTTGAGGGTGATGCCTTGGCAAGATCATTAACCTAAGCAAAGATTTTATTTCAATATTTCCAGCCAGTTAGTGGGAACACAATGAACAATTCGTAAAGAAAAGACACGAAGGAAAAAAAAAAAATCTAACATTTCTATACAGAACTTTATATTCTGTATAACAATGTCTTCAATATATTTCATGAATACTACTCTCGGCACCAGAACATATATACCTTGGAAACATAGTCATTCTCGGCAAACTTGAAGGCAGGTTTAAGGACGGTAAATATGAGAAAGAAGCGAGAGCAAGCGTGAGAAAACAGCTTCACAGGCACGTCCGAATTCGGCTTATTCACAATGACCGCTAGTTCCCTGAATGCGTCTGCGATTTCCTTGAACTTCATCGCTAATGGCTCCTTTCTCCCACTCTCTCTGATTTGGTTTCTTATATATTTGATCTTTCAAATGATATCTAAATATTTGTTCGATGGAGAAACATTGGCGGGTCTTAATCTGAGAGAAACCTTAAAAGAGCCAACTTGCCAACTTGCAACAGAATTAGTCCAAATAATAATAATAATAGTCAATAGCGTATTCTGTAGTCCGACCCGACAACGACAAGACAACACCATCAAACAATCGGACTATGGTTTTGAATTCATGAATCTTAGTCGGCCAAAATCGTTTGTGAATTTGAACCGCTTTTTATTTATCATTCATAAATTATAGTAATTCGTAATAACACGGGCCGAAAAAATTAAAATAATCCATTGCGGATCAAATACGGAACCCTCTTACATAAGTTAATTTGTAGCCTTAAACATAATAATAGTACAACTTTGTAGTAGAATAGAAAAGTTCTAGTAGAAATCCAATCAAATAATCCAAAACACACAATTACATCTTCAAATAAACAAATTGGATACGAATTCACATTACAAAACAAAGAAAAAGAAGAAAAGAAAACCGTATGATTTCTTGATTTATTTTCGAACTCCGTATATAGCAGCAATATAGAGAAGTTGTGTTGCCGAAAGTATTATTAGAAATGCCTCCATTGTCCTCTGCCGAGAAATCAAAGTAACGAACTTTTACTTTAATTTCAGAAATCAATCGTTCTATGTTTTTATCAATTGCTATAATAACGAATTTGTGCAATAAATTGATATAATAGAGTTTTACTCACCAGACGAGCATTTCTCATCCCAAGTTCAATTTCCTTGCAGCCAAATCTACACAAGACCATTGAAAAAATAGAGGTTTCAATAACCTATAGAATTGTATGCTATTTTTGGTACGAAATTGATGAAATAAAAGAATTGATTATTAAGTCAAAAGTGTTGTTTCAACGTCTATACCCCATGGCTAAAAGTGTCAGCGACCAAGCAATGGTGGCGGCGGAGACAGCTGCTGGGAGACTAGTAGAAGTCCATGATTGGAGATGACTGACGCCGGAGATAACCGAGGCAGCTCCAGCAACTCCAGCAATTAAAGCAAACATAATGAAGAATCCGGTGGCCGCATTGCCCATTGGAAAATGTATTGGCGAGAAATGAGCCGGAAGACTATAATCCGCACCTTGAATTTTATTATTACAAGGAGAAAAAATATTGAATCTTGATTAATCGGCCATATGGATGATTCCATAATAAAAATAGTTCGTTGGCACAACAAAAGGCTTGTAATATATGTAACTAAAAAATATTTATGAGTTTACAAAGGTTTTGTTTTGCCTCACACACCAAGCACTCAATCTCTTATGTATCATGCAAATCTAAAACGTATTTTAAAATTACTTGCATGCATAAATAAATATTGTTGTGAAATAACTAAATAGAATTCATATATATATAAGCCGATACTCTAATTCGATCAAGAACTTAATACCAAGAAAGGAAAACAAAAAATAGAGAACAATGGACCATGCATTGACAAAAAAAAAATCATATACCAATAAGGAAGCCATGGTTGATAGCTTTGTTCATGGACCATGCACCAATTCCAAGAACAATGGCATACATACAAAAGTTCAGAACTAAAAGAAAAGAGGCCACCGGTTTCATCTGCTGTTCCACCATTTTTTCTTCGGTGTGAAATGACTTATAAGAGCTTAGGTTTTTTGATTTTTGTTAAAGCTTAAGAGCTTAGGGTTTATATATAGATCGATCCAAGAGAGTTTAGATTAATGGTGCTTTTCTTGGTTAAGGCTGTTTGGTTTTCTCGTGATTCTTAAAGGTCATTTAGTTTTTGTTCCTGCAGGTTGTAAAGCTGAGTTGATGTGGTTAACTTTTTTAGTCTCCAAAGAATCCATATTTTGCTTCATTCACAGGACATAATTAAATATTTGAAAAGTAATAAATAGAGTATGAACTAAATAAAAACCTTTGGAAACTTCAAGATTCTTTGGTTCACTTAGTTTCTTTCGCATTTTTCTTGTTTTATGTTGCTTTTAGACTTTATTTTCTTTTGATGTACACGAATAAATATTCTAGACATAAGTATAAATTTTGAGATACTCCCTCTGTTTCAGAATATAGGATGTTTTAGAGTTTTTATTTTGTTTCAAAATATTTGATGTTTTGCAACTTTCTATGCAGTTTTAAATGTAATTGATATTTTATGGCTGTTTGTATTATGCAGTATTTTCTCTAATTGGTTGAATTTTTAAAACCAAATATTAAATGATAGTTTTAAGAAAGCAAAATAAATTTTCTTAAAATGTGTGATTTAAAACAAAACTTCATATATTTTGAAACAGAGGGAGTACCTTTTACAGATTTCAAAACAAGAAAAATAATAATAAACGTGTATAAGAAGTTATTAGAGGAAACCAATGATGGAGGTACCTTGGGAAGCAAGTCATATGATCTTAAGTTCTGGCAAGTGGTAACCCGTCATTATCTGCACAAGTATCAAGTGATCTGCAGAAAAAAAAAAACAATCCCATTCTCTATATTATAAAAGATCCCAAAAGACATTGTGATATATATCGTATTTTGCGGAGGACATTCTTAATAATGCATGCTTACCCGCATTCGCTTCCTGCTGCTCTCTGTTTTTACATTGCTTTCTCCAGATTCTTCACCGTTTTCAGTCTCATTAGCCAAATTTTCTTCATTGGCTTCACAAACATGTTGAAGATGTTTTGGATTACCAAGTCGGTTTTCCACTGATGAACAGTCATTGAAGAGGCTAACTTGTTCCTTTCCCTTCAATTCCTCATCACCAGCTTTGCTTTCATCCGCTTCATTCAGGCTAGCCAGAGATGGAATAGGGTCATCTGGGAGTCGTATACCGCATCCTTTTAGTAAGAGTCGAATACTAGTAAGACGAAACTCTATATCAACTTGATCACAGTCTTGGTTTAGAGGAAATTGACAGTGAAATATAATCAGATGATTATATTTCTGATGCAAGGATAAAAATCTTGGTTCAGGGGGCTCAAAGTAGTTCCCGTGCTTGTCTCTAAACCGACAGTGTACCTGAATGTCTATAAAGCACAGCTGATGGTTCACCGTTTCTTCGGAAACCACTACGCAAGCCTTGAATTCCAAGAATGATTGTTGAGAGAGAGAAGAACGATGTAGAGGGATGGTAAGGGAGCTACCGTTAGAGCGGTAAGTGAAATATGGAGGCACCTCTACACCTGGTAAGACCAGAATCTGAGAAGCTGATTGTTGAATGAAGGCTTCTTGATTTGAATTGAAGCAGTTAGTAAAAGTGATCAATGCCAAGTTGGTGCGAGCATTATTGGTGTCTTCTACTTCCTCAGGCCATATAACTTCAGTCAATTGCTCACAATCTGAGAAGGCAACCTTGTTAAGATTATCGAGTGTGAAGATGCTTGGTGAGATGCATTTTAGCTGGTTGCACTCCCACATTTCCAGTAATTCGAGGCTAAAGAAGTTTTCAATCCATTGAGGAACCTCTTCAACCCCTGTTTGGTTTAGGTTGAGGACCGCGATGTTATTTGAGATATTTGGAAAACTCCTCAGCCGCGAGCATCCATTGAGATTGAGGCGATAGAGAGATGGCAGGTTGATGCCTTCCGGAAGAGTCTCTAGACTTGAACATCTTGTCATATCCAAAATCATCAATTTATTGAGATTTTGAATCGTGGAAAGAGTTACCTCTGCCAAACTTGAACAATCACTTAGATTGAGTGTTTCAAGTCTAGTCGCCATCGAAAGATCTGGGAGTTCTTTCAAGTTTGCACATCCCGAAAACACAATTTTCTTGAGGCTTGGTAGAGGCTGATGAACAAAACAAAACCAAGACAAATTTAGATATGTTTTTAAACATTATGTGGTACATTTCCTCTCCTAACTATACTTTAAAAATAATTAAATACCCCCAACAGACCACTAGTTAGGTGACTTTAAGATTTATAATTTTGTAGTCTAGTTTTCTTTTTTCTTATTTCTTATAATAAGACTTTCTAGTCTTGTAGTCAAAGATGCAACCTCTAAGTACACATGCAACATATTTATATGAAATTTGTCACAAAATGTGTTGAATGTGAAGAAATATTACGGATGCCGAGTAATCAGGTTCTTCATTTGTTTATAAAAATGGTTGACTTAAGATTTTCCAAAATCATTAAACATACTCCAAATCAAATATGTTTTAAATAACGACAAATTTTGATACTAATTAACCTATCAAACGTTAGTTATTGAAAGGTTAAGGATAGTATCATACCTGAACGCCTTCCCAAAATCTCTCATTCTTGGTTTGCCCCATATAAAGTTCAACGAGTTTCTCTAAATGCAACTTAGAGGGGAATTTTACGATCGATGTTTGGCTTAGATTGAGCTTTGAAATGTTTCTTGAGATATCATGAAGCTCCACCAAACTTGAACAACCGTTGAGTACCAAAGTATCAAGATTGGTCGCCGTTGAAAGATCTGGGATTTCTCTGAGGTTTTCAGACTCCGAAAAATCCATATGCTTTAGGCATGTAAGCAGCTGACCAAAATAGACAATGAAATAAACTTACACATCAAAAGAAAGTGTCGTGCAAGAACCCATTTTAGTAATCTAGCATTCTAAATTCTTGTCAATGTTTTGGGTAAATGTAAGAATCTTCTAAATAGATGAACCGACCACAATTTTTGATAATATATCGACACTTACCTCAACTCCTTCCCATAGCTTCTCAACCTTGCTGTTGGGCATTCTTAGCTCAACAAGATATTCAGGACAAAAATTAGACGGCATGCATCTCATCGGATATCCTGGCCAACTTAGTAACTTAAGTTTATCGGGAAAATCATTGAATCTTTCGGGTAGATCCCATCTAAAACCTTTCTTCCTTTCCAAGGAACTTTTGTAGAATTTCAGAAATCGGAGATTAGTCATCCCGTCAAAGGCATTCTTATGTATCCGCACCTTTTTAACCTCATCTATATCCAATGATATACCTAAAACCTTTTCAGTACCCTGAAAAATACAAGAATCATTATCTTAAAAACAGGGAAATTTTTAGTCTCATAGACGGAGTTATGGAAAAAGAAAGAAAAAAAGCTTACCGTGCAACCTCTAAGTACATCGCAAATATCCTTTGAGTTCATAAGGATTCT